CTAGAATACGTACACACACTCAGATGCAATGCTTCAAGGAGTACATCTACCAATCGATGCGTTATGGCCCATAAATGTGCATAGTACAAAAAAGGTACATATTGAACCATTATGTCAAGTATATTACAGTCTTGTGACACTTTGAAGGACGGTAGTCGTTTCGCCACGCAAACGCGAGATATATGGGTCTCATATAAACAAAGTATAAACTGAGATGCTACCAAGCTTTAATTAGGTATTGTGTTAGGTGAATGGAAGGTATGGAAGGAGTCGCCAGTGGTAATAAGTCCAAGTCACGCTCAGGTCAAAACTCATACTTGTGATTTCCTTTGGATTAGCGCATTGAATTATGGGGAAATCAATGTTTATCAACACAAATGTCGCACATGCGCGGCGCAACGACCACCACCCTTTAAGTGAGTAGCTAGCGAACAACTCTACCAGTTAAAAGAAAAAACGTGCTTACAAACCAGGATGGAATGAACATGTCACTGAGTTGCACTCATTATCAAGAGAGGCTCTTATTTTGTGTTGTGCTCAAGCCTCTATTTGACCAAAAAATATACATGGAAATGCTATGTGTAGGGAATCACCAGAAAGCTACACAGTAATGGTACAAATGACTTCTGGGAAAATGGTTTATAACTGTAAAACACCTCTACCATCAAACATTTATGGAACTGTTGCAGATTTCAATATTGCTGTACTGAAGAAAAAACATTATCAAGACCAAATTAACTGCATAATCTTGGATAATATTAAATTGAATTTTACCAAGATGCAATTTACAAATTAGATAGTGATAAATCGGGTGGTGCTGATGGAATTTATGCTGAACATCTTAAGTTTGCCAGTTTGAACATTTTCAAAATTCTTGCTACATGTGGGTAACATTGTTACAGGTGAAATGATTTTTGTGATTTTCGTTCCTGTTATTAAGAACAAAGCTGTCAAAATAAACAGGGAAGACAACCACAGTCCTATAGTCATTGCTGGTATCCTGTCTACTAAGGTTATAGAGAATGTTTTGCTATACCAAATAATATTTATGTATTTATGCACTGAAAGTGATTGTTTCTCTGCGAATCAACCATCACGGTGGTGTATGCACCAGACGATGATTACGAAATGCTGTGGCATTCTGTCACCTTATCTGTTTAATGTATATATGAATGGTTGTGTGAATGGTAATATTTGCTAATGTAAATATTCCAAGATGCCAATCTGTCTTACGAAATCTGATTTATAAATTCATATGTCATATTAAAAATCGGAGAATGTGATCGTACGAGGCTTGGCTGACTTCAGGATGTGTGTCTTAAAACTTATATCCAGAATATGGCATCATTTTTATAATAAACTGCATGTGTACTTTGACATTATTTAATTACCTAATGTACAAATATCTATTTAACTTATTTTGTTTTATTTTTATATGAACCGCTGAATGTGTGTTAATACTAGTAGTATAGAGTCTGGAATAAAGATTTAAATTGAATTGTAGTGAATTGGGTGTACACGTACTAGAAACCGTCACACATACCTATTTGATTAGGGTATGTACGCAATAGAAACTTTCATACACACACCTGTGGTGGTTGGGCGCACATGTACATGCTGATTTGAGTATATATATATACTAGAGACGTTGATTGGGGTATATACGTAGTAGAAACCGTCATGCAGACCTGCGTTGGTTCGGGTGTACAAGTATTAGAAACAGTCATACAAACTTGCGTTGATTGGGGTATATACGTAGTAGAAACCGTCATGCAGACCTGCGTTGGTTCGGGTGTACAAGTATTAGAAACAGTCATACAAACTTGTGTTGATTGGGGTATATACGTAGTAGAAACCGTCATGCAGACCTGCGTTGGTTCGGGTGTACAAGTATTAGAAACAGTTGATTGGGGTATATACGTAGTAGAAACCGTCATACAGACCTGCGTTGGTTCGGGTGTGTAATTATTAGAAACAGTCATACAAACTTGCGTTGATTCGGGTGTATACGTAGTAGAAACCGTAAAAAAACCCATTGATTGGGGTGTATAGGTATTAAAAACAGTCATACAAACCTGCGTTGTTTAGGGTGTATGAGCAGTAGATGCCGTCATACAAATCTGCGTTGATTTACGTGTATACGAACTAGATACCGTCATACAAACCTGAATGGTATCGATAGTTTTCCTGGCGAATGACGGACCGATGTTAGTGAGATGTGTCATTGACAACCCTTCATAATCCCCCAGAAATACGATGCCGTTGATTTGAACTTCTTCGTCTTCTAGTAGTTTTTCCATGCACATCAGTATTGCACGTATACAATCGAAACCAGGGTATTTATTGGGATCCCACTTCCCTGTCAATTAAATACATATTGCGACCATTAATTAAGGTAGTTCGATACCATTAACATAATATGTGATCACAGTAAATCATTCAAAACTAGTATGTGATGATTCACATCGTACATGCACACCATTCATATTTAACGTTTTTACAGAGAAAGAAGAATGTTTTTACAAGAAAACATATGCAAAATAATCTAAAAAGCGACTATTTTTTGAAAATGTACTATAGATTTCATGTAATCAGATTATTCCATATTATAACTTATACTAGTATTCAAAATTCTCCTATTTTTCGTTAGAGTTATATCTAGCCTTCATCGTACCACATATTATTTTTTGGGCATAGGTCATCGAACAACAGTATTTCTGCTATATAAACTATTCAAAAAACGCATTTGAGGTAATTTTTCGAGGTTGTTTTGTAGAAAACTTAGTTCGGTGACCATACATTTTTATTTCAGAATTTTGCACATTACAGTAACCCAACCCCTCTTGCTGGACTTTGAGGATTTCTGATTTTTTTAATGGTAGCAAACTACCTTTTAAGGTAGTTTTTAAATATTAAAATATTTAAATTCGAGAAAAAAAATATAAAATATAATTAATGCACTGAACTAGTGAGTGTATAATTCTACTATTACACATCACGTAATTTGAATCACGTGACTACACGTACCGTTGCAGTCGCCACTCATCGTTGGTCATATGGCTTCATTCGTCAAAAAATCGATACAGATAAAAAATAATCTCGCATTCCCTGGAGACGAAGCGCATATCTGGTGTATACACATACGTGGTATGAATTCTGATCGCATCAACGAGTCGGAATGATTGAAGTACTCTCGAACTATGCAATTAATTATTTAATTTAATCTGAAAGTGTTTGAACTGGAATTTGAATATTTACGTGAAATGATGATAATTACATTTATATTTGGAGTACAGCAACTGATTGCGTATGTTGTACATTCATATGTAATAATCATAGGTTTGTTTTCCCTCATATGTAATAAATCTAGTAGTTCGACACTTGTACTATACAGCAAGAGATGAATATATTTTAAAAGCAGCTTTCTTTATAAAAATTCAAATTATTTAATTTATTCAGTATGGTGTCCAATACACACCGTTTAAGACAAACGTACGACAACCGTACACGGGTCAATCAAACGCATGATATAACCACGTAAATTTAGAATCGGATCTTTAAATTACTGTAATGATTGGACACAATCGCGCACATGACATAGATTCCATCTAGACGACCACATAGTTGTATTTCTAGCAGACCCAATGGACTAAATATTATTGCCCTGTTCTATGTGTGACGGAAACTCCGAGCAATGAAATGTATTCTGTGTATTAATTATTCACAACCAATATATATAGTATCATCTATTAAAACTCAAAGGTTAACGAACTATGTTTTATGTTTGTTCAGATAGGTCCAACTGTGCTCAGCCACATTTGACACGGCAGTAATCGATCTTTCACAATGCACATTTCATAATTTTAAATTTGAAGATTACGTAATAAATATTAAATCAAATTGGTTAAAGTTGTAGCCTACTCATGAATGCAAATAACCAGAATTTATTTATTTTTCAATAAATTCTACTACAAAGTAATATAAGGACATTGACATTAGAAAGTTGGGGTATGGCAGAGATAATATGCCATATCTCAAAATGTGGTCTGGTAAAATATGCTGATATATATTGTGAATGATGAGGTACTTTTTGTTGTCCTGAATTATTTTTAAAAAAATAGTTTTAAAAAGTCTTAAAAAATACAATTTTTATTTAACACAGTGCTGTGTTCTATGGAATTGTTCTAAAAATAGCGATTTTTGAAAAATATTATAACAAGTTACAAGTTAAAATATGTCATTGTAACACACAAAAGAATGCTATTTCATGATGCCATGGACAATAGCTCCATGATTTTACATAATAAAGCAATGAACATTATTATGCGATTTATTACCAATTTTCTCTAAATTTATGAGTAAACAAGTAATATTCAGCAGACCACGCATGCGCGTTGTAAGATTGGTACTCAATGCACTATTTAATATAGAGATCCGTGAAAACAATATATTAAGTTGTTTGTAATGTCAGAAATAATCGATACTTACCTACTCTATATAGCAATACTCTACGTCCTTCTTTGTCCTTATCTGGTAGGACATGGGACACTCCATCGTTCCACACCGGCATTGCCGATGACGGCAAGAAATTATCGAAAATATCCCTATAGTCCCTTCTGACTTCGTAATATTTCACCATGGTCTTGAACGCACGGTCGACGTCGAACTTCTTTGCTCGTAGAAAGCGCAACAAAAACGCGGAATCGGAACGGAATTTTATATCAGATCGGTCCGTGAATTTGTTCCGTAAAGCGACAATAGCTTCATCTCGTGTAGCCGTATCTTCGTTCAATTCGTCCTTAGCTTTCTGTTGGAGTTTTTCACTCAAGGTACATACGTATGATGTGTCAGACATGTTTCAAGTAATATTTATAAATATGTAAAATTGATAATGCTGACAAAACCTCCAACAAGAACATTCAGTGGCCTGTGACTCAATGATCAGGGTCTCACTGCGCATAGAATATAATTTCCCATAAAAAGTGACATCACGTTTTGTAAGTAATTAACGAAGCCGGACGCATCTGCCGTAGAGCGGCAGCTATAGCCATAAGCGTCTCATTTGTGCTTGACAAAGCCTAATTTGCATATCCCCATGGACACGGATTGTTCGGAAGAGATGATGTACACTTTTGGAAAAGACTGCTCGCCGGCGCCATACATGATTGGTTTTAAGATTTCCCAGGCTGAGTTTTGAACTTGTAAGGTGTATGACGTAGTATGTAATAGGGCAATGAACTTATCAATATAATATAGAAATAAACGTCTGTTATACAATAAGCCGTATTAATAATATTAGGTGCAGTACTATTACGGTCGGATTCACTTTCATGAAGTGGCATCTTGAGATTATGAAGAACAAACAAGGGGGAGAGGGGGAGAGGGGGAGAGGGAGGGGGAGAGAGAGAGGGGGAGAGAGAGAGCTACATAACTATACTGGTTCTATTGTTTGAAATTCAACTTTATGTTAATCAGTTATTAATAATTTTATTTTAAATATCGTTTTTTGTTTTATATCTTGTTTCCTGTGCTTTGTTCCATTAACGAGCTGACAAACATACAACTTGAAGCCGCCACCGTTACTATAACCATGAAAGTTATTATCCTATGCCAAGATATGATGGCATGGTCAATATACGTACCTGCTGGGGCAAAATGAATTCACCTTATAGGACTGTGGTCGTCGCGCCGCGTTCTGTTCAATGTGGGACTCGTTTCCTTAGTCAAATGACAATTTGCAAGTACATTGATGCCTTTCACGTGTAAAGTAAAATAAGAGTATATTTACGAATATTATTGGCCCACTCACAACTTGGTCACAGCCTGCAACAAAAATACTATTTTCTTACCATGCGGGTAGGACACGTCGGAATTTGTTATTGGTCGGTACGGTACCCACACGCTATATATAAAGTTTTCAACTATGATAGAATTACAGTTTCATTAGATCTTCCAACTATGGGTATTCTCCGTGTTTTGGCAATCGTGTGCGTTGTATTGCTGGTTGTGAGCTATCCAGTGTACGGCGATGACTCCCTACCCTCTACCGAATCTGAGGTGAGTAAAATATTATTTATGGACGAAACGTTTTTAGCTCAATTTTAATTTGACTATTACAAAATTATCAGAATTACGACTTGACAGATCAACAAGTATATATTGACACATGAAACTGTTACGGTTTAGGATGTGGCAAACACTGCTGGTAATTAGTCAGTTCTGAAACTTTCGCAATGTAACGAAATAAACACTCATGCGTTAACATGTTTTAGACACGACACAAGGAACAAGTTTAATCGGCCATGTTTAACGGGGAAAAATAATGTATTTTCACGTGTAACAGACAGTCACGCGTCTTTTGTCAATTACAGCTAAAAACATAACATTTGTCTTGACGACCCAAACTATACATGCCATCCGTAATAAAAAAAAAACGTTTCAATTCAGGAAGATGTTCTTTTAACCCCGTACGATCCTTAGAAGTGAACAGAATGCATAAACGAATTAGCGTGTGTACTACTGCTTGCTTTTACATGTTATTTTTGACACATCTATTTATAGAGCGAAATGATGAATTGATAAACATACGCCACCAGCCTTCGTGCTTTGTATTCACGGGACACATATATTAACACTTATTTCAGATCATACCAATGGGAAATAGTAACTATATATTTCGACAAATCAATGGAATAAACACTAAAACATGCGATTATTTCAGGTTTTCCGGTAAAAAATATGAAAAAGCACCTGTTGGGTAGAATTACACCCTTTACGAGAGACAGAGTTGTGTCATTGCATGGGTTCCCCCCGTAAATGCAGCCTGTCATTGCATGGGTTCCCCCCGTAAATGCAGCCTGTCATTGCATGGGTTCCCCCCGTAAATGTAGCCTGTCATTGCATGGGTTCCCCCCGTAAATGCAGCCTGTCATTGCACGGGTTCCCCCCGTAAATGCAGCCTGTCATTGCCATGGATATTTTATATTTACAGATTGATGCGAACACAGAAGTGAAGGAAGATCTCACGAAACTCAACGTTACTGATTTAGTATACCTTGATGTACTAATAAATGGACTGCAGGCGCACCGCCAGAAAGTTGTGATTGGCTTATTTGGAGATGTTGTCCCAAAAACTGTCCGAAACTTTGTCAGGTTGGCGGCAAACAAAAAGAAAGGGAAAACCTACAAGCATACCAATATTCATAAAGTTAAGAAAGGCACTGGTATCTTTGGTGAGTTCAAGAAGTCCCATATTACATGTCATAAGGTTTTTTTGTGTGTTTTTATTTTATTTTCAATTGTAAGCTTGTCGAGGGATGTGTGCGCATGTCAATGACGTTATGGATGTGTGCGCCTGTCAATAACATTAGGGATGTGTGCGCATGCCAATGACGTTAGGGATGTGAGCATGTCAATGACGTTAGGGATGTGTGCGCATGTCAATGACGTTAGGGATGTGTGCGCATGTCAATGACGGTAGGGGAGTGTGCGCATGTCAATGACGTTAGGGGTGTGTGGGCATGTCAATGACGTTGGCGAATGTATACTGAGAGATTCGATTTGGGTTTATACGGATTCAAATTCGACACAGCCTCGTTATCACACCTACAAATATACACGTGGCCGAACATATCAATACCTCAACCGTAACGTTGGCGTCGTTATTGCAACAATGACGCTGTCTGCAATGGCGCATTAAGAACACGTAAATTACAACTCAAATTTGTATTTTCTATTTCATAGGTGGCGATGTTGTCTATGGCAACGGAACTGGTGTTTATAGTATTTTCGGAAAATACTTTGCCGATGAAAATTTCAAACTTGAACATTATGGCGCCGGTTGGGTGAGCATGGTGAACCACGGTAAGTCTCGCGATCTGGATACTGTTTATAAGAAATATCATCACGATTTTAATTAGAACTGATTTTAACTTCAACTTAAGTTTTCAGGCGAAGAAGACCAATTATCAGATATGTGTTTGATACATGAGGCACATCATTTAGTGCAAAACTTTATTTTATTTAGGTAAAATATATAAAAAAAAATAATACGTCACAACGCCTGGTTGTATTTCAACGGCATTTCCCCTTGAACGATCTGACTTTCGGGAGAAACGTTGAATTATACAAGTCGTAATACAACCGTGGCGTGCTTTGTTTCATACTTTGCACATTTTGCTTCCGTACGGGAGAAAATCTGTTAATTTAAAATTTAACTTCACTACCAGGTTTTATTGAAACATCATTGCGAAACACGACTTGTGCGTCATCTCGTTCGCATACACCATATACTCACGACTCTCACAACTTTTACTTCCAGGAAAAGTTAAGAATGGATGTCAGTTCTTAATCACAACTTCAGAGACTTACTGGCTTAACGGAAAGCAAGTGGTATTCGGCAAAGTGTTGAAAGGTATGGAACGCGTCCAGCTAGTGGAAAGCATCTTGCCTGATGACCTGGGACGCCCGACGATCCACGTCGAAATCGCTAATAGTGGCAAGCTTAAGATGAAGAAAAAGTTGACAGTGAAATTAGAGCCCGACGATGATGTTGAAGGTTTCATTACCGAGAACACGAAGGATGAACTTTAAAGTCTATTTGTCCTATAATCCAAACAGGTTTAGACAGAAGGACATACTCATAATCACTGCACAATTAATGTCTCGCCGAATGTTTGATAAAACTTTACACTACATAATCTCCCCTGTTACTCGCATGTTTGAACAGATACCTTCCGTGATTTCCTAATCTATAACTATCCCTTCGTTACTCTGAACTAAAAAAAATCAATCTATTTGTGTCTTTTGGAGGTGAATACACCAGATACTACAGACAGGATGAAAAAGACTGGTTTTCACTGCTATTTTCAGAACACACAATTGTTTTGTAACTATGTTTTTGTAATTAAACGAATAAATATAAATCTTTCAATCGGAAATGCCAATTTAGCCTGAGATAAATGTGCCACAAATTACTTTGAATACCGAATTCCCCCACAGGTCACCCAGGATACTCAATTCATTCACATGGTACTTTGAATACCGAGTTAAGCCACAAGATACCAAGGATACTGAATTTACTCACAAGCTACCATGGTTACTGAATTTATCCACAAGGTAGCATGGATACTGAATTTACTCACAAGCTACCATGGTTACTGAATTTAGCCACAAGGTACCATGTATACTGAATTCAGCCACAAGGTACCATGGATACTGATTTTACTCACAAGCTACCATGGTTACTGAATTTACCCACAAGGTACCATGGATACTGAATTTACTCACAAGCTACCATGGTTACTGAATTTACCCACAGAGTACCTTGGATACGGAATTTAGCCACAAGGTACCATGTATACTGAATTCAGCCACAAGGTACCATGGATACTGAATTTACCCACAAGGTAACATGGATACTGAATTTACTCACAAAGTACCACGGATACTGAATATACCCACAATGTACCATGGATACTGAATTTACCCACAAGGTACCATGGATACTAAATTTACCCACAAGGTACCATGGATACTGAATTTGCCCACAAGGTACCATGAAAACTAAATTTAGCCACAGGGTGTCATTAATACTGAATTTTCTCACAAGCTACTATGGATACTGAATTTACCCACAAGGTACCCTGGATACTGAATTTACCCACAATGTACCATGGATACTGAATTTGATCACAAGGTACCATGGTTACTGAATTTACCCACAAGGTATCATGGATACTGAATTTACTCACAAGGTACCCTGGATACTGAATTTACCCACAAGGTATCATGCATACTGAATTTACCCACAAGGTTCCATGCACACTGAATTTAGACACAAGGTACAACGGATACTGAATTTAGCCACAAGGTACCATGAATACGGAATTTACCCACAAGGTACCATGGATACTGAAATCACCCACAAATTACCAAGAATACTGCATTTACCCGCAAGGTACCATGGATAATGAATTTACCCACAAGGTATCATGTATACTGAATTTACCCACAAGGTACCATGAATACTGAATTTGCCCACAAGGTACCATGGAAACTAAATTTAGCCACAGGGTATCATAGATACTGAATTTACCCACAAGCTACCATGAATACTGAAATCACCCACGAAGTACCAAGAATACTGAATTTACCCTACAAGGTCCCATGGATACTGAATTTACCCACAAGGTATCATGCATACTGAATTTACCCACAAGTTACCATGGATACTGAATTTTCCCACAAGGTACAATGGATACTGAAATCACCAACAAAGTAACATGGATACTAAATTTACCCACAAAGTACCATGGTAAACAGAATTTACCCACAAGGTATCAGGGATACTGAAATCACCCACAAAGTACCATGGATACTGAATTCACCCGCAAGGTACCATAGATACTGAATTTACCCACAAGGTATCATGGATACTGAATTTACCCACAGGTATCATGCATACTGATTTACCCACAGATATTATGGATATGAATTTACC